ACCCCCTTCTCTCTGCACCACTGGCTTGGACTTGGGGCTAGGACACGCTCCTTTCACACTTGTTCGGTTGAATGGAGGCAGGCCTTGCTCCCTTCTCCCTGCAAGGTTGGGTTAGGGCTGGGCCATGACCCCTTCTCCCTGCAGAGCTGGATGGGGGCTGGGCCATGCCCCTTCCCCCATGAGGCTGGATCAGGCCAAAATCCCCCCTGCAGCCTCCACATGGCTGGATGGGGCCCCACTGCACCTGCTCCAGCTGCAGGATCAGGGCCACAGGCCACATGTGGCCCCTGGCTGAACTGGGCACTGCCCATCCTGGCTGCCAAGGAAAAAGGTTGAACACCACTGCTCTAGCCTTCTCTTGTGTGCCTAGTCACCTCCCCAGATTGATGTGTGCAAATACAGTTCAAAGTCATATCACTGACTCTCACTGTTCCAGTGCACTGTCAGGTAGATTAGCAGGAGCTCCACCACACAGGAAGTATGACTGTGTCTTGTTCCATTAGGAGGGTGAAAGGAGAGAGGTTGGGAGTTTCTTATGACCTCTTCCCTCTCTTCTGCACTATCACAAAACTTTCTATTTCTTTTCTACTCCTGGTATCTACAGGTCAGGGAGTAAATATAATCTGTTGTTTTCCTGCAAGATTAGAGTTGCCCTGTCTTCACTGTTTCTCCTGCAGGTCAAACTGATCATATTGTTATGTCATGAAGAAACTGTACTGTGAGTGCATCTACATGAGATGCTTACTGCTCAGTAGTGTGTCATGGCAAAAAATGTGCTAATAGCCTACTGTTCAGTGTTATTAGGCTAAAGTGCAGTAAGTGTCACTAAATAACTGTGTACCGGCACTACTGCATGGTAATTCTAGGTACTGTGCATTTAGTTAGTACTTTATTAAGAAAGTACTAAAATGCACAGTATCTAAGATGCATTAATGAATGTGCAGATGTGCCTGTGTTGGCTAGAACTAATTTTACATACGTTTTAATAGTGTTGCAGTTCTTTTGGAAACAGACACAATATTTTTAAATTCAAGATGGACTGGAACTTTAATTTAAGTGTACGTGTACCCTGAAGACTGCAGCATAGCTTAGACATACCTGAGCTAGTGTTTGAACCAGACAATTTGGGTATTGCAGGCAGAAGAGTACGGATGTACTGAGCTCTAGGGGTGTGCAAAACCAGCTATATTTGATTTGGATTCAGCCTGAATCAGGAGATAGTGATTCGATTCATTGATTTGGATCACTGTCCTGATTTGATTTAGCCAAATCCAAATCTGAAGATTTGATGCTGATTCTGAGAATCAGCGATTTGGCCATAGACACAGCTTTAAATGTTTTTCCTACATACATTGAGGTACCAGGCGTGGCTCATGAATGCTGAGATGGTGGGGCGGATGGAGCATCTCACAGGAGAGCCAAAGTATTTCCAGTCTACTTCCAGGTCCACCGCCAAGTGCACAGGGGACTCTTTCTCCCCCCCCGCCTCCAAAGCCCCCCAGCTCGATGATCAGCCATGGAGGGACCCTGGGCATCTCCCCAGACCCAGGAGGCACTAATCTCTGAGCCAGGGGCGGGGGTGTCCCCTGCGCACTCTGCGGTGAACCAGAAATGCTTCTGGTCCACTTCCGGGTCCACCGCCAAGCGCACTGGGGACCCCTGCATGCTCCCGTGGGGTAATCCATCCGGCCCATCATCTCAGCATTCATAAGCTACCTGGTACTTTGAGATATGTAGAAAAAACATATAAAGCTCTGTCTATGTCTGAATCATCAAATCTCTCCAAATCTATCTGAAGGGTTACGATTCAGTTAAAAAAGGTTAAAGGGTTTCCTGATTTGATTCATATTCGGAGATTTTGCTGCCGTATCAGGCCAAATCTCTGCCAAATTGAATCGGCTACGAAAGCTTCGCACAACCCTACTGAGGTCCATGTGGTCTAATTTACCCTGATTCTCAGATGGGTAAACTATCCCATACTGAGCTTCATGCTGCTATAGACAGACTACTTTCATTACTGAAACAAACTCAGGTATGCTATCTGGCACTCTGTAGTTTAAGTATACCCTGACTATACTACCTGTTTTACTTTCATTGTTACTCTACAATTTAAGAACCACATGCCATCCACAAGATGTGATCTTTTAGTTGCCTCTGTTTTGTAACTAAGTTACATTTTCGTATTTGCTTTTTGGTTAGAAAGTGTGTGTGTGTGTGTGTGTGTGTGTGTGTGTGTGTGTGTGTGTGTGTGTGTGTGTGTGTGTGTGATATTTATGTAAGTAATATATAGATGCTGTGTTTGAATAGAATTCCATATCAGTGGGAGGTATGGTGGCTAAGTAAATTTAATAGTGAGGCCTAAGTGGCTCCTGTTTTAAAAATGACATGGGTATTGCTCTCAAAAGCTATTAATTTTCATAAATCTTAATTGGTCAGATCAGCTAGCTACTTTGTCTCTCTGCTAGAATGACATCACAACTGTGATTGACAAAGGGACTAAAATGGTGGTTTAGTAAGAAATTTTCAATGTCTTTTTACTGTAACTGATTAATCTCTTTCTAGTAGAGAAACCGAGTTATCTGCATCATAGATTTCTAGGAATTGTAGGTGAGAGCACCACCTTTCTGGGAAGCCTATTCCAGGCTCTGGCCCCCCTTACCATGAAGTAGTTCTTCCTAGTATCTAACCTAAACTTATCTTCCTTCAGCTTGTGGCCATTGTTCCTGGTGACTCCAAGGGGGGCCCTGGTGAACAGACTTTCCCCGAGTCCCTGCTGGTAGCCCCTGCTAAAGTTGTAGGCAGCCACAAGATCCCCCCCCCAGTCTTCTTTTCTGGAGACTGTTTTCTGCTTCAGGGATTTTACAAAGAATCATTTATTAAATAAGCAGGCTATTACAAAAATTTATGTTTGAAAGGGAAATGGCTATACATTACTGTACTTATTAAATAACAAAAAGCGTTATTTACTGTTTGATATCCTACTACTTTGGCATGAATTGTGTGATTAACATTGACTTTGGTTTTGTGAATTACGTACAAAATCCAATTTAATGTGTCCATTATTTGTGGCTTTCTGTGGCTATAAACAGCATTTTGAACTTACTTTCAATATGTTGACAACTAAATTAACAAACTGAGATCAGCATTTTCTTAATATGTCTTAAATTCTGCAGTACGAACTAAAAATTTCTAGCATAGAAAAACCAACAGGAACAACCAGCTCTTTTGGACAGTTTGTACCAGTTAAGCAGGGCATGCCTCTTCCTTCTAAAATAAGTAAACAGGGCCTACTCTGCCTTCTAAAATAAGGGCAAAAGAATGTAACAAAAATGTGAACAAATACTATTTAAATTATGTATACCTATTTGCAGAAAAAAATGGCTTTGGGAGCTTGAAACTCTGCAAGCCTGTCCTCAGAGTTTCTTCTGAATTTTTCAGTGGTGAGAGAGAGATTTCTTGACAATGCTACATTTTTCTCAAAACAGATACTTTTTATTAACACTTCTAGATGTTGATGAATTCACTTTTTCCAACAACAGTAATCTTGGGCTGAAAAATTCCCAGTCACTAAAGGCTCTTGAAGATTCCCTGCTGGTTTATTACAAGTATAATAGATGTAGTTTTTTCCACAATCAGTCCTGAAATCTACTCATGACAGAAGAAAGGTAAGGTGGCACCTTAGAGACTTCCTAGTTCAGAAAGATGTGAGCTTTTTTAGGCAGCAACCTACTTCAGCACATGTTAAAAGAGAACTGGCAGAAAGAGATGGTTTATAGAGAAGAGAAAGGGACAAGGGAAAGAGACCCTGCTAAGAGAAAAAGGGAGTTGGTATGATCAATTGAGATGAACCAAAGCAGTTAAGACCTTGAGGGACACTAGAGTTAACAGCTAGTTCAGGTAATCAGATAAGAATCTATTGTCCGTGTTGATACTATGTTTAACACAGTCCAGTCAGTGGAAGATTTCTTGTTCTGCAATTTCACATTTAGGTTGGTTCTAGAATTCTTTTGTTTGAAGACACCTACTCTGAGGTCATCAATGGAATAACCAGAACAGTTAAAGTGTTCTGCCATGGGCTTTTGTTGGGGTTTATTTTTTTAATTGATTTTGAATCAGTATCTATTCATTCATTCATGTAGAGATTATCCCATCTGTCCAATGTGGACAGCAGATGTATGTGACATTGGTGGAGGAAGAGTTCAATGAACCCCAGTGCCTCAGGGTGTTAATTGTCTTGTTCATCTCAGTTGATCCTATCAAATCACTCTTTACCTCTCTTAGCAGTACCCTCTCCCTTGAGTGGGAGGATTGGGGTTCACTCACCTCTTTCACCACCAATGTCATCTATACCATCACCTGTTTGCAGTGTCCCTCTGCCGTCTACACTGGACAGGTAGGTGATCCCTAAGTAAATGAATGAATGGCATCATGAATTTGAAATCAGTTCCCTTTCTCTTCTTTATAAACACCCTCTCTTTCTGCCAGTCCTTTTTGTAGTGTCAGGTTAGGTGGCTGCCCACAAGAACTCATGTCTGTCTGACCTAGTTAGTCTCTAAGGTTTTCCCCTGCTTTACCTTCTGCCTGTCTTCAGACTAATATGGCTAACCAGCTCATGAAATGTTAGTCATACTTAGTTGTGTTGTCCCTTTAACAAAAATGGAAATCCTTTGATATTTGAATAAAAATTAAACCAAGCAAATAAATGCCGAATTGTTCTTAAATGTGTGCATCAGTTAAACGAGTTGAGAAGAGCTCTGCCAGCTGTTCCAGATGAATAGTCGCCCACTGATGATGAATGTTTTTACTTAGTAGGATGGAATAAAACTCTTAACACTGGAAATATCAGTAAATTTTATGGTATGGATTTATGCTTTTCCCTCCTCCCCCATCACTTTCCCTTTAGCTTGAAGAAGTAAAGTTAGACTTGAAGACTCAAAGAAATAAAGTTATTTTTCTAAATTTTTATTTAAACAATAAATGTACTTTTATTTTTTTCCTAGGGAATGAGTGTAAGAGATGCACCTTTGAAGGAAATTAAGGTGTCTAACATTCGTCGATTTGTAGCTTCTTTTAATGTGGTGAATGCCACAAGACGGGATGCTGGCAATTACCGCTGCATGATTCGCACAGAAGGAGGAGTGGGAGTATCCAACTATGCAGAACTGGTAGTCAAAGGTACTTTCGAATATAATATGCATGTACATATTTAATACATAAAATAATACCATGCAGTTAATTAATAATTCTCACCTATCACCCACTAAAGTCAAAAGGGAGTGTAATAAAATTACCTCTTGTATGTATATCTCTAGCGAAAGGATTATGGGAAAGGCCCTTGTGAGGAGGCATTAAATGCACCTTCTGTTCATATAATAAAAATACTATTTAAATATATAATGTATGTTCGTAAAAGTGCACTTACATGTTTTTTTTCAAAAGAGATATAAATACGTTCTTGGCAACTCATCTCCCTTGTGGAGATTGCATTCTAAAAATATATTTACTGTGGTTTAAGAGAGAATTATTTACAGATAAAGGAGAACACTTAAATACATATATTCAGAATATGGGAGGTTCTATAAACATCAGGAAACTTTTAAAATGTAAACAGAATGCACATAAAATGTTCAGTTTGTTACAGAAAACAGTACAAATATTATTATATTGCTTTAAATGTATTTAAATATACTTTGATTATGTCTTATTTTTTACTGAGTTTTTAAGTGAATATGTTAGTAAGATTTTCAAAGAAAGACAAGTTGGATCTTGGGAGAGATGTTTGACAGTCAGTCATGCAAGGTAGCCCACAGACAGGTCTTTAGCCAAATAATCTATCATAGCCATATTTTCTGTTCACAACTTGCCCTTTCCAAAGTCAGTTATTCCTGTCTTTGTCTTGGTCAGAGGCTGTTTATGGGGAATATGTACTTTCTGAAGTGGAGCTGAAATGGAGCTGGGTCAACTGCTATATGATTGATATTTAGTTGACTGGGAATTTTAGGTTTTACATCCTTCCATACCACCCAATTGTATCACAACACCCTGGTGTGATACCTAACAGGGCCATCAGGCTGAAGACTTATTTTATCTCCCTCCAATATTAATGGTGTCGTCTTTGGCAGGGAAATAAAGACTGTCTCCCTAACAAACCCAATATTTGGTGGTTAGGATCTACTTGGAAGTTCTGGAAGAGAAATTTTCCTTGTCCATAATACCAATTTTTAGAAAACAACTTCACTATTCTAAGCAGGGTTTTTGCTTCTCTTCTTTTGGGATTCAATGCAGTGGGCCACATGGCACCTGGTGGGGACAAAGAAGAGAGATGTGGATCTTTGTCCACTATCAGGACAAAAAAAATTAAATAATGCTCTGCAGCTTCTGCTCAGGGCTTTTAAATTTTATCCTTAAGCAGCGGGCTAACACTTCCCCTGAATGGAAGTGTTCCTTTTTGGAATAATGGAAATATTCCTCTGAATACCACAGCCTGCCAGCTCAGATTGCAGGTGTATTGGGCTAGGTAGAGAGACTTACTATTTAATTGATCTAGAATGTATAGTTATCCTCCTCCTACCTTCTTTGGAATACTGCTGTAAACCTACTTGGAACTATACAGAGGTCACCTGAAGACCTTTATAGTCTTATTCAAAGAAATACAGTATGAACAGAGGGACAACAAATTGGGTAGGGGACAACATTGGAGACCAAAGCAAACACCTTGTTTCTTAAATCCATATAGAGAGATTATGCTTTAAGGAGAGATTTGAAAGGTAAGAGAGCTCTATGGCTATGATCAGAAGCTGTGGGAGATGCAGGGGCTTGTATGAAAAAAGGATTATGAAGGGAATATAAAGAAAATGATTAGGAGAAAAGATGAGATGGAATTAGGGCTCTGTACACGTTACAGCTATTACACGACTAACTGGTTCATTGTGCAGTTAACAGACCAGCTACATATACAGAGTACCAATCATGCCATAAAAAGGTCCAACCAGCTATAAAGTTGGAGCTCGAAAATGTGTACTATCTTTATAGCTGGTTTCTACCCAGCTTTAATTTGCATGTGTAGCAAGGAATACATTGCATGAAAGCTATCTGATGATGTGCCAGCATTCCAGGGTATATTGCTCCATCTTAGTGTAACGTTATCTGAAAAAGAACAGAAGGAAATACCTGCCCCAGCATAGAATAGATCTGCACCCCAGATTTATTCCTCCTACCCAGTAGCAGGAAGCAGAGGAGAAATTCCACCCCCCCCCCCAACTCCACCCACTCACATGAGCGGGGAGCAGGGATACCCCTACCCTGCCAGAATGCATCCTGAAATTTGGGCAGCAGGGAACATGAGGAGAGGAAGGAAATCCCCTGTCTTTCCCCAACACAAGCAGGAGAAGGGTTCCTGGGTCCCATCCTTATGTAGCTGCCTGGCTGCAGACTTCCTCAACCTGATGGACCATGCCATTCTCTCCTGTCCCCGGGGCAGGGACAGGCAGCAGAAGCAGGAGGAGGGAGGAAATGGGAGCCCAGAGACTCTAATGGCAGCAGCCTCTGGAGTGACTGGGTGGGGAGCTGTGCTTAGACCAGGAGCCCAGGGGCTGCCCTGGGTATGCCAACAAACCTCTTCAGGACTCTGTTGATGCTAAAGCTTCACTTTGTCGTCTCCTGCATGTAGCCAGCCCTGCACTTAACCCTTCAATCTCTGTGCCCAAAATAATGAGGTAAACTGAGTCAACATTATAACAACACGAACGCAGTTGACACAGAAGTATTAATACAAAATCTGTAGTCAATCGCAGATAATTTGACTCTACAGATTAAAAAAGGAAAGAATCTAAGGGAAGAGGTCAGTATCATAAGAAATATCTGAACATGTGAGTTTGAATGAGCCCACACTTGCGAGCATGTAGTAGAGGGAAACAAGGAGGTGGCCATGAATGGAAGTGCATGAGATTCCAATGAAGGGAGGAAGGTGGGTAGAAATATAAAGCCTTAAAGGCAATTTTGAAAGTTGAGTCAGTAAGGTAAGAGGAAACTGTGGGAACATAGTTCAGTGGAAACTCAGGGAAAGGAGGGAGTGTACAGGAAGATATAATTGACTCTAGCAGTGATAACAGAAGGAGATGTTTTAAAAGGACTAGGAAGAGGTCAGTAGACATTCCCAAAAAGTATTTCCTAATACACCACTTTATTTGAGATTTTTTAATATGTTGCCACTGTTTTTGATCTGCTATAGCTGAAATTGTTTAGCATATCATTAGCATTTGCACCTACCCAGATTCTCCAGAAAATTTATACTGAGTAGCCTGACAGTTGCCCCTGATCCCACTAGCCAGTTGCAGCATGATGAAGTAATCATGGTAATACCTGTTGCTTGATCCCTTGTTTTAATGAGACCAGGTCATCCTACTAAACCAAAAAGCCCATGCTGAATAATGTGCTGTAAAACCTTATAAGTCTATACTGAAAGGCATTATAAAGGGATCATTTGTAAATATACTTTGTTATTGATGGTCTAATACTAAAAAATGCTTTTTGTAATATGTTCAGCTGCTTTCTGCTATATTATGCAGCAGAATTCAGAGAAAATTAATTGATTTCTGTTCAGATATTTCTATTTTTGTTCCATTACTATCAATAAACCAGAAAAAATGTACATTTACCTGTACTGTAGTGCTTAGTATGCTTGGGAATTATTGATGGCTTAATAATAGTATAGGCAGACATAGTGGTGTAATTACTCCCCGCACTTCTGTGGAAACAATGAGCCTAATTCTCTTCTCATTTACAGTGGTGTAACTTGGCTGACTTTCATGGAGTTACTGTTGAATTACATTTCTAGGACTGACAGGAGAGTCAAACTCAATGTTCATAAGCTTTAAAAACTGCATACCCTTTGAGTTTAGCATATAATGAATGTTTTATACTGGTTACTGAATACTTTCATAGTTTCTAGGGTCAGAAGGGACCTGAGTAGATCATCTAGTCCAACCCCCTGCCATGGCAGGAAAGAGTACTGGGGTCAAATGACCCCAGCAAGGTGTTCATCTAACCTCCTCTTAAAAACCCCCAGGGTAGGAGCCTGCACCACTTCTCTTGGAA